GATTTAGTCTTTTTTTTTTTAATTCAGTTCGATAAATAAGTTCGATACGTTATTTATTTATTTGTTTGGTTTTGTTTCAATTTATTTTATTTACACAGAAGATTGTTCCAACATGCAGTTGACATTCAATTTCTATGGCCACCAGCATAAGGCACGAAGTAACCTTATCTTCATGTTATTTTTTTCTTCTAGAATGCAGCTTCTCTGTTTGATACTCACTGTATAATTGGAGCAATTATTATGTTTTTCTCACATAAATACATTTTTTAGGTATTGAGTACTATTTTATTTGATAAATTATTCATATTTTAATCTTTCATGATAACGAAACTGCATTGAGTTTTTATCTTGCGCGCATTATTTTGGATAATATAAACATCTTAAAATTAGATTGATCATGACTATAAAAAAACTTTAATCCAAATTTAAGCACCTTAAGCTTCAATTCAAGGAGCTACTTTTGTTTGAAGTATATTAGTTGGTCCACTTTTGAAAATGCATTTTCATGGCATTGGTATGTCATAGGTGAGAAAAAACTTAAACAAAAAGCAGAGAAAGGGTTTGGTTGTGCAATGAGGTTGTGGGATGTCGGGAAATGAAGGTATAGGGAGAAAAAAAGTGCAACCAAATGAATAGAACAGTGAGGGAAAGATATAGAGGATACGACAGCGGGAAATGGTCTGCAATTAAATTAATGGATTTGATTTAGTTTAAAAGAGGAGATATAAGTTAAAATGATTACAAATGTACATTGGCAAAAATATCAGTATGAACTGGATAGTTAATATTTATGCTACATGCTAAATTTTATGTTTAGAAATTTTTTTATTAGTTGGAAATTAATTATATTTGCTTGATTAATTTTTCTAAATGTTCTATTAAGTGTTTAGAGGCTAAAAGTTGAACTTCTGAAATCATGTTTAAGAGTTAAGATTTAATGTGGTTAGAACCAGAAATTGAACTTTTTATTTGTGTTTGATGACTTTAGCTTTTGCAATTGTTATAAATAGTTATATATACATACATATACAAACCCCTCTCACTCTCTCACATCTGCATACACTTCCCCTCCCCACCAGGTCTTGATCCAAAGCCCTTTATAATGGCTTCTTTGTTGATGCAATAAAGGTTGTTATTGCGTAAGAATACTTTTGATGGTTGATTTCAAAGTGGGTTATATATTTTGACAAACCACAAAACAAAAATGAAAATCCACTTATCTATATAATAAACCACAAGGGTTTTTGAATATGTCCTACAATTGTCTTAGAGATACAATTGTTTTTAATGGTTGAGATCAATCATAATCAACATCTGACGGTTAAAAGTATAAGTTGAACAAAATGTGTGTTGATGCTAGACCTTTGGTTTTCACTTACCAATACCTCTGTCTATCACAAATGTCTCTCTCCCCCTTAAAAGTTAGTTTCTTTAGAACATAATTTGAAGACCGAAAAGAGCTCTACTTAGTTTGAATTCCTAGACTTGAATGAGGAGAAGAGCTCTATTGGTTTTGATGTAAATGGGATCACCTTAAAAGTTAGTTTCTTTACAACATAATTTAAAGACCGGAAAGAGCTCTACTTAGTTTTACTCTTTCTCTCTCTCTCTCTCTCTCTCTCTCTCTCACACACACACACACACACACAACCTCTTTGCAAGTGATGATAATGGCATTTTGTGAATTTCGTTGAGCGTTTTTGTCTTTGGGATTGTGCTTTGTACATAATTTAGTTTTATTTTGATTGTCTTTTTCTTTATGTTTATGTATAGCTCATTTGCTGCTTCAAGTCTCAGTTTAGGTGTACGGTCAGAAGATTGAATATCTTTGTTAACTGGTTTTACTTGCTTTGGTTTTAGCTATGTTGCGATTCACTTCCCCACATTTTATCTTGGTAATTTTTTTTATTCTCTGGATGGGTTTGGGGATGGCTTGAACCATATAAAGCACTTGAAAATTCTAAATGTTTAGGGAGGCAATTCGTTTTGTAGAAGACAAAATACCAGAAATTAGAAAATGGGAGAATGATTTGATACAGTTGTACTGAGTAATATCCATACACTAACTAAAGATTTGATGCACTAATTTAGTCATCCATGAGATTTTTTTTTTATGATAGCAATCGCTTAAATATTGTTTTGAAGTCTTTATGAGTAAAAGGGCAATTTCTCATGTCTTATTCAAACTTAGATAGCATCTTTATTTTGTTTCTATGTGAAACATTTGATTTTATTTGTGAAGTGATGATTGGTCCTTTACATCAAAGGAAAAAACTGATTTTGCTTGCGGGATTATTGTTCAGATTCATTTTTTCCTTCGAAATTAGTTTTAGTGTTTGTTGTGGCCAATACAAGCTATGCATTTCATATCATCTTTTTTTTTTTTTCTCAATTAATTTGTCATGTGTTGCTTCATGCATTGTTGGGAACTTAAAATTGTGGCGTCATAATGTCTTTCAAAGATTACAAATATTGTTTTTTATAGTAGTGATGACACAAATTTTTTATTTTTTCGTGAATTTTGCGATGAATAGTTTGTGTTTTTTTAGGGCTTTTTAATTTTATTTTTATTATTTGATCTATTTACAGAGCTTAGATAATTGGAAAAATGGCGAGTTCATCAATGCGTGTTCTATGTTTGCTTCACTGTAGTAATTCATTATCTAGATCAAAGTGTTTGGAGAGGTTTGCCTAATTCATATTTTTGCTGTTGTTGAAATTTGCTCCCTGGTTCAACTAGGAAAACTTCTATACAAGAGTTATCATTTTATTGATAGGTTTCACTAGGTAAAGCCTGTGTAAATTTCTCTCTTACATTCATGTTTAGAATCTTCGCTCAATGCTATTTTTCATGTGTGTTTCAGCCAATGATGAGGTTAGAAGTATGCTTACCACTGATATATTCAGAGCTATTAGAGAAGTACATTAATTTTGTGCTGAAAGAAGGGGATTAATTACAAAACAAATTGAAAGAAGATTATTTGTTGCTATGACAATGTTCAAACCAAACCAAACCAAATTAAACCAAGCCTTTAGTCTCATTGCTATGACAATGTCATTGCAAAAAATTGTGAAACATGCAATTATCACTTTTAAACATGGGTTTGTTGAGTTTTTTTGGTATTGTTCAAATTGAAACCGTAAAATCATCTGATTCAATAATATTATATTAAGCTATTCATGCATTTGTTATTGTTCTTCAAATTATTTTTATTATTGCAATGAGTTCATTTTGTTGTCAAATTAGAGTTGCTTTTAAAGAATCATTTTGTTGATTTCTCACATGTATTTTGATGCAATTTCTCATAGCTATTGGTTTTTTAAAGTGAATTTAAGAGAGTGATTTTGTTGTAGGTGGCTGATCCGTATTGGAAACGTTGGGTTATGTTGCTTCTCTTTATGTGTGTAGTTGGTTGGCTCTCATTCTAAACCGGATGGTTAATTATTATTTTTTTTAGTTAGATAAGATGATTACTCTTTTGTACCAAAATATTCATTCACCTTTTCTTGAAGGTATTGAAATTTGATAAAGTGAAAAGATTACCAGTTATGATACTAATTTAGTAACATCTTTTTATTGAAGGTTTGCTATACATGTGTCATTTTGACGTGGATTGAATTCTAAAATTTGTTGTTTGGACTTGAATTTTAGCAAATATTTTTAGATTCTATTATTTGCTTATGCTACACTGTAATATAAAATTCATTATTTGAACTGTAATTTTGAAGTTTGTTATTTGAAATTTATGAATGTTTTTGTCAGTTTACTATGTAGAAACAATTTCAACTTCTTATTTGTGAAGTATTAAACTAGAGTAATATATCATTTTAAATTGATTTATTACAATTGAATTCCGTTACCCGTGTGGTACCAAAAAAATTATTGACCGTGCATTCAGGCATGGGTTATCCCTAGTATTTTTATAATTTAGGGGTGATTTGAGAACCCAAATAAAAGCTGCGTTGTGCAACTTTAAAAACACAACTTGAGACAGCTAAAAACGCTAGAATACTATTTGGGAAGTTAGCAAAAAGCAAGGTGTGAAATTACATGAACTACCCTCCATGTTTACAAGTTGAGGAATAGGGCAAATCACCGTTTGAGATATTTTGATTATTTTATTGTAATGTGAAATCATAAATAAATATTAACTCAAAAAGTAAAAAAATAATTTTTTATCAACTTTTAAAATCATTTTCTAAAAATGTTGAAAAACTTAATTAAAAGTTAAAAATTATTTTTTAATTATTTTTTCAAAATCAATCGTGATAGAGGCCTCCAATTCGAGGCCTCCAATTTGGCTCGAATGCCGTTTTTTTTTTGGGGCTGCTGTGTTAGTTAGTTTAGTTTTTTTTTTTTAAAAAGTCTAATCTAAAATATTATACATTTCGCATCAACTCATCATATAAAATTATATGAAATTAATAAAATTTAATCAACAGTTTAACTGATCAGTTGATAAAACTGATCAGTCAATTTTATCATTTAACCAGTCTAATTTAATTGACTGATCAGTTAAACTGTTGGTTAAAATTCGTTAATTCCATATAATTTTGTACAATGAGTTAGTACAAGATGTCTAATTTTTTGGCACACCCCTACACATAACCACCATTAAAAAAAAATTTTTAAAAAAAAACCAACACAGCCTAACAAATAAAATTAAATTAAATTAAAAAAAATTGATCAGTCAATTTTATTATCCAATCAGTCCAACCCAACTCACTTACAAAATGTCTAATTTTTTAGCACACCCCTATACATAATCACCCTAAAAAAAAAAAAGAAGAAGAAGAAAAAGAAGAAGAAGTAAATTTCGAGGCAAATTCGAACCTCGAATTTGAGGCTGAATCATTAATCTTTCAAAGATTATCCCTTAAGAGGTAAAATAATACTTCCCAATATTTTAAAAATCTATTTATATAATTTTTATAATTTAAAAGTCAAAATAAATATTTTTCAATAATCTAGGAATCTCCGTGTAATAACCTAAAAATAGATTTTGAACAAAAAGCTATCAGTGCGCTGAGGACAGTCGTTCTCTTGTGAGTCCTCATCAGCAATGGCGGCTTCTCTGCAACTCACTGTGAAACCCTTCAAAACCCATCATTTCCATTCCAAATCTTTATCCAAACACGCCCCTAAATTCGCTACGATCCGCTGCTCCGCCACCTCACCCTCAAGGCGCTACTCCATCACTCTTCTTGCCGGCGATGGCATCGGCCCCGAAGTCATCTCCGTTGCCAAGAACGCCCTCCAGCTCGCTGGCTCTCTCGAAGGTACAAAACCCCTTTTCTCAAAATCCTAGCTTCATTTTCCGTTTGTTTACCGAGAAAACAAAGGAAAAAAAAAAAAAGAGCATGATTCGAATTGATCCTGTTTGTTTATGTGGCTGAATGTTGTTCTCGGGATCAACATTGCTGTAATGTATAGTTTAGTCTACGAAATTTTGTCCTTTTTTCAACGGGGTTCAGAACCAAACCCAGTTGTTGTTTTTTTTTCAGGGTTTAGGGTTTAATAAGTTTAATTGCCATTATGCATTAGGATTAAATTTTATTTCAAGGAGATATCCAGGGTTTGTAGATGTCCTTTATTTTTTAAGTAGATTTAAATTATTGCATTTAGAAAGGTAATGTACTTCAACTTGAAATAGTGCTATTCAATTAATCAATTAAAATTTCCTATCCAATCTTTCTCTGTTTCTCCACTTCTTTCTATAATTTATCAAATTTATCTTTCTCCTTGCAAATTGGTTCTCAACTTGGCACTCATTGTTCAAGTCCTCTTCATCTGAGGCAAAAATAACTTCTACATAGTCGCTTGTTAAGTATTTGGCTTATAGGGTTTTTCAATGTTGCTGGCACACTCGAAATTACTTTTAGGGTGTAACAGTGAGTTATAATTGGCATTTTGTATCCAGGGATTGAATTTGGCTTCAAGGAGATGCCTGTGGGTGGGGCTGCCTTGGATTTGACTGGAGTTCCATTGCCGGAGGAGACCCTTTCGGCTGCAAAGAAATCTGATGCTGTTCTTCTTGGTGCAATTGGAGGGTAATTGCATCTCCTTACCTTCACAATTCCACTTGGTTCTCTGTGTTGGCATTAGTTTCTGTGATGGTTGATTTTTGTTTTCCAGATATAAATGGGATAATAATGAAAAACATTTAAAGCCTGAGACAGGATTACTTCAGCTTCGGGCAGGTCTTAAGGTCTTTGCAAATTTGAGGCCAGCTTCTGTCCTGCCACAGGTATTCCATGGCCTATTACATTTAAATGATGCAGAGTTCTAGTCTCTTGCTTTGTATTCTAAAAGTTTTCAAATTTGATTATGTACCAGTAAATAGTGTTTGAATTTAATGAAGGGGAGAATAAAGTTCTCTAATGTGTCTCTGATCAAAGGTAACAAGCATTTGGCCAAAAGAAAATACTAAGTTGAGTCAGTTCCCTGTGAGATTTGGTAAATGATAGCATCTCCATTTGGCTGCGGTAGTAATGCCCAAGTTTTTTTTATACTATGTGAGGCATTATCACATGACTCTTAATGGGATTAAATATGGTTACAATGAAGGGCTTGAAATTCAAATACCCAAGTAACAGTTCTTGCCACACTTTGTCATAAGTTATGCTGTGTGTATAATAAATTCTTGGTTGGCTTTGGAGTGGATGTCCATTTCCATGATCTTCTTATTCAGTCCATCAATCAATAAAAACAATCTAGGTTTGCACAAAACTTTTCAAATAGTGAACAAGTATTTAATTCAAACCCTAATTTCCCAAACCCTAACTCTAATCCCTATGCCTGTATTTAATTCCTAAACTATCGAATGAATCTATTAAATACTCTAGGGACAAATAACATTATGAAATCATAAAATTCAGCATAAAACACTCTTTTCAGTGTATATTGATTTGATTTGCCTTCAGCATGACCTAATCAATACTCCAAAGGCTTTCATTGTGGTTGTCAATTGTATCTGGAACCCCACTATTTCGTATATGTCAATAGGTCAATATTAGGTATCTATTTATGATCCTTCTGTGTAGACAGTTTGTCAATAGACAGACAAATTACAGGTCACATATGGTTTTGGAAACTATTTCTTTCCTGGTGATATGTATACACAATCACACTTGTGTTCCACTTTTACCTGCATTTTCTTTATAACCTTGGTGAAATAAAGCACTTAATTAGGGACATGATTTTCCTGGCCAAAGACTATGACCAAACATTTTTTGTTTTGGACCTGAAATTGATGAGGGTCTAATTTGTAGCTTTTGATTTATATTTGAGAATCAGGTTCATGGGTATCCCTTGACACCCCCAAGATTAAGGCCTAATGCTTAGCTAATATTATAAATAAAAATAAATTAAAAAACTTATCTCATATCACCATTATTGAAAACACATTAAAAAAAATATATATTTAAAAAATTCTATTTCTTATGTTAGCTTATGATAAATAAGTTCTTCATTTTCTAAGCTAGTATGTCCTTGTTTTACAAAAGATTTTTAGTAGATCCCTATTCTTACATATTTGTGGTTTGTGTGGAATTACTAATAATAATGCTACGCATTAATTTTTGGTTGTATGGATGCCATTGAGCTATAACGAAGCATATAAAATTCAGTCTATTACATATTTTGAAGATCTGAAATTTCATATAGGAGGTTGTGACCCCCTTTTTTTAATTATAAATTATGAAAGATCAAATTAAATTCAAAATGATTTTTGTCCTTCAATTAAATCCAAGGTTATGATCTGATAAATCCCTTTGCAGCTTTTCCATTGATATGATACTTATTTTGAGGCTGGCAAGCAGTTAGATGTGTCCATGTAAACTAGCTTGTAGATATAAATGTAATTTTTGAACTTCTATTATTTGAAAATTTTGGCATCCATGTAAGTGGAGTGGAATCTTTTCATTCACCTGGCAACAAGTGATACATTGACTTCTCATTTCAATTTTTGTACTGTGCATTCATGAGCCATGTCTTGTGAAAGTCAAATCCTTAAAGTCAAGTAGAGTCTACAACTTGTGCAGGTACAAAAAGACATGTTGAAATGAATAATTTCCTTTTTTACTTTTTCTAAAATATTTATTTATTCGTTTACCTTTTAAGGGCACAGACATAATTGAATCCTAAACCTTATCCTTCCTGAAGCTTTGACTATATATCAGTTTATGTTGATGGTGAGTATATTTGTTGAATTTTTAGTTGATGGTTACCATTATTGTGGCTGCTAGTCTACCTGTGTCTCTGCAGCATAATTTTATCAAAAGAAACTTGCATGTTAGTTTCCATTGAAGAAGCCTGTGGTACAAGTGATCGTTGGTGACTCTAGGAATTTTGCTGATGGGGTCACTTAAATTTTTCAACACACAAAGTCACATTGCATCAAACCAACCCTTGCTAAATGAAATTAATTATAATATTGTTTATTTTGAACTCAATTCTGTTTACGCTAATTCAAAAAAAAAAAAACTACTTTTTAATATTTTGTTTGTTTACTAGATTAACTCTAAAGTACCAAACAAAAAGATTAGATTGACCTCAAATGATAACTGATGATAGCAGCTTCCCGGTGGCCCAATGACTAGAGAGAGAAATAGTCCGTGTGTCTTAAACCAGCCTCTTGCCGTCGTTAACCTGCAAAACAAGCCCGGAAGGATTAACTGGTGGGTGTCTTCCTTTCAGGCCGCCGATGGAGAAGTTATAACCCAAACATCCATATTTTCAACCTCAATTTTTTAGTCCAAAAAGACAAAAAGTGCACTTTTTTAGTCTTCCCAAACTTGGCCTAACTCTAAAGTACCAAACAAAAAGATTAGATTGACCTCAAATGATAACTGATGATAGCAGCTTCCCGGTGGCCCAATGACTAGAGAGAGAAATAGTCCGTGTGTCTTAAACCAGCCTCTTGCCGTCGTTAACCTGCAAAACAAGCCCGGAAGGATTAACTGGTGGGTGTCTTCCTTTCAGGCCGCCGATGGAGAAGTTAGATGTCTAAGTCTTGCTTGAGGATAGAGATGATATGATACTAGTGCGTAGAAAAATGTGTTTGTGCGTGGGTAGGATTTCTTACTTGTTACCTCAATGGATCTTTGGTACCCCTCTTAGAGGATGCCACGTGGCGTATCTGCTTTAGGGACCGTGTTCTAACATTCCTACGGGATCAAGTGGTAGGTGAGGGTCCAGAGTTTTGGCATTGTCTGACCGCCACGTTTGGTGCAGCTAAGGTTTAATGGGAAATTGACCTTACAATCGGGGTCAGCAGCCTTGATCTGCAAGTTAGATGACCGACCGAGCTGGCCTGTGGTGTTGAGCTTAGGCTTCTCTCTCCAAGGAGGGTGTGGGCCAGGTTAGGGCCTTGGGCCTTTGTGCTGGATTGGGCCCCAGTCATCAATAACAAAGAGACAAGATTGAACCAGTGTTTTCATTCTTCTTGATGCTCTCACATGATAAATCTTATGCGTATTTTGTGAATAAATTTTATATATCTAGCTGAATATTTTCAATTTGATGGGGTGAGTTGACCCAGTAATCATTCCAATACATAGGGCTGCCCCTGCAAACAAATCCATGAATTAGTTTAAACATGAGCCTTATCTTTTCTAGAATGTTCATGAGTACCCATTTGACAAGAGACTGTGTTTTGTTACTCTCATTATTGCCTTTTTGTATGCAATGTGTCTATGAATATGCTATATGTTGTTTTCCACTTTTAGATGTTCATTCTCTGTGTTTACCAAATCCAGTTAGTAGATGCTTCAACTTTGAAGAAAGAGGTTGCTGAAGGCGTTGACCTCATGGTTGTGAGGGAGCTTACAGGAGGTTAGTGCACTTGGATGTAAGCTAAGGTCATTCAGAATGAGTTTTCTGCATTATGCCTCTCTTCTTTTCTTTTGCTCATTTGTATTTTATTTTTTGGGATTCTGACTCTTTTTCCTGACGATAGGTATTTATTTTGGAAAACCAAGGGGTTTTGGCTCAAATGAGAATGGTGAGGAGATTGGTTTCAACACTGAGGTCTATGCTACCTATGAGGTAGTTCTCTGATGCAACTTCCCTTTACCAGTGAACTTCCATGTGAATGATACCAGAATTTTACTTTCATCGCCCCCTCCACCCCTTCCACAGATATTAACCTGTGAAACGAGATCTAGAAAACTATTATAGTTACATTTTTAATTTTAATCTTTGTTATGTCTTCAATGTTATAAGTTTTGTGGTTACAATTTACTGTAGTCCAGCTAGACTAAATAAAACTGATCCTAGGTGAGCTCTATTTGGGTTTTTGATGAATGGCTAATTTATGAGTGAAAGTGGAACAAATAATCTATGGTGTTAGTAAATGAAAATTTCTTCTTTTCCGAAGGACTGCATTACTTTTTTGTCCTGCTTATATAGACAGAAGGTAAGAGAAAAGGATACCTCAAAATAAATTATTTTGCCCACTGAAAAGAGAAGACAGTAGTATCTCTTCCCCTAAACGGTAATTTCACCCTGGTTGCCTGTTTTCAGAGATCTCAGATTTGGGGTCTGTTAATTTTTTTAGTGGATTAAGTTGGCACACCATCAATCAAAGAAAATCCAAGTGCATTTAGACAATCCTGAACTGACTGAGATTGTAGCTTTCCCAAGCCACTCTTAAAGAAGCCTATTTTCACTTGTCATTGTATATTATGTGTATACTACATTTCTTCATATTTTTTTTGTTTGATGTGAAAATCTTTCTTCATAGATTGATCGTATTGCTCGCATTGCATTTGAGACTGCTCAGAAGCGGCGTGGGAAACTCTGTTCTGTTGATAAAGCAAATGTCTTGGAGGTAGCTTTGCAGTTGACAGTTCCTTTTTTTTTTTTTTTTTTAAAAAAAAAAATCGTTTTATTGTTTTACATATCCTATACTATATCTTTTTTCAATTTAAGGTGTTATTTGGGAAATTTACTTTGGTTCCACTTTCATGACCATCTCAAAGCCGAAAGAAAGAGAGAAAATAAGTAATGATTTGCTGGTTTCTGCAAACATTTCCGAATGCAGTAACAAATGATATTTTAGACTGCAAATCACATTCTATAGATTGATAGTATACACATTCTCCGTAAATGTTACATAACACCAACCAATTAATACACACATGAGATGCTGGACCTTTTGAAAGATTTAGAAGACAGAAAAGTTTGATTGGTAGGTGACTGGTATAAGAAACCAGAAAGAGAAATAAATAAATAAATAAAAGAATGGTCAGAAAGGTCAAGTATGTGTATACATATATATATATTTTTTGATCAGCAAGATCAAGTATATATCTATCACCACATAACATACCAAAAAAGGCCATGTAATGGGAAGTGTTGAACTATAGGTCAGCCATCTCTGTGCCCCACATAATCATCTTCTCTAAGTTCCCTTTTAAAGAAATTTTTAAAGAATGGATACTTAACATCCTTGAGACACGAACAGTGGCAAGTTGGTAACAGCCCTGGTTTTGTTGGACTCCTGGTTGGTACATGTTTGTGGAATTAGAGAATGAATCCATTGCATGCCCTACATAGGCCTGTGTTTTTTACTTATCCTAAGTTTCCATGAGAGCAACTATGATCAGCTTTGTATAGTTTATGGTATCCAAAAACGTCCAATCATGAGTGAGTACGGAAGGTCACTGCTAAATCATCTTATCAATGGTGTTAAGTTAGATAACCCTTCATTGATGTCAGTCCTTTATCATGCACGGAATGTTTATCTCATTTCAACTCACCTTGACAATATATTGTCGTAACTTTTTTTGGGATTGGCTACAAGAATCTTGTTACCATCTATGACCATTACTTTCCATTAAATTATAGGCCACCATGCATTTGATGATTGCCTCGGTCCAATTCCTCTTTGGCTTTCCCTCAACTGGTAGTATCTTCAGTGTGGGCCATGTCTTCTCCTTCATTGGTACAGTAACTGGGCTTTGTTGCTTGTGACCAAATGAACTTAACTTCTGGAATTTTATCTTCTTCTCTGCAGTGCTTGATCCCAAAAAATTATAAAAAGCCTCTTAATCGTTTCAATGCACAGAAAGATCGTCCTTTTGGGGTCTGGTTCAATTCGAATACCAGTCAATGTGAGGGGTGATGTTCAATCGAATAGCTTAGATCCCTGCATGTGGAGCCTGCCAGTGCCAACTACTTTTTACTATGTTTTACTGTTACTATTTCTACTGAATACGCTCTTGTTTCAGCACACAATACTAAATTTGTAAAATTTTTTGCAAAATGCACACTATTAGTTTGTTAAATGGTTTATGAAGCACGGATACTTCAAAAGGGGAGACGTATCCATATCGGATACTTATCGGATACCGATACTCCTTGGATACTTGCGGGTACGTATCGGATACTTCTTAATTAATTTTTTATTAATTTTGAAGTATCGGATACTTAATTTTGAAGTATCGGATACTCGAAGTTACATATTACTTATAATATTTTGTTTAGTTCTTTGATAAGAGGAATATAGTAAAAGTTAAAGTAATAGAATTTGTCAAATTGATGTATCCTTATTGTCTCTCTCACTTCTCTCTCGCTTTCTCACTCTCTCACGTTTCTTGTCTTTGCTCTCATTCTTTTTTTGGTGTTGGCATGTAAAGATGATATTTAATTTGCATTTGCTTTTGTTTTTAGTTTTGGATGTTTTATGAATGTTTGAAGACTTTTAGGTTAATAGGAATCTCTCTCTTTATTTATTAATTTACTTTAAGTTTTATTTTCATGCATATTACATTATTAAAATTATAAAAATATATATTTTTTTACGAACGTATTCCCGCCGTACCTGTATCATATTTTTTCAAATTTTGACGTATCGCTATATCCATATCGCCATATCCGTATCCATGCTTCCTAGGTTATCATTGATGACTTAAAAAAGTATAGTTGCTGAAATTTTTATTTAATAATGGTTTTTTGGCTTTAGCTAAGGTCCTGTGATATTCACTGAAGAAGGGGAACAAGTTGAAGCTATTGACCTTGAAGACTTTTAGTTTTATAGGAATCTTTCTTCTTTATCAAGTTGTCTTTTGTTATAGGTTTTATTTTTATACATACTGCATTACTAAAAATTGTAAAAATAATATTTTTACAAACGTATCCCTGCCATGCCCGTACCCTAGTTTTTCAAATTTTTCCGTATCGCCGTATCCGTATCGTATCGTATCCGTATCCCGTATCTGTATCCGTGCTTCCTAGTAAATGGTTCTAAGCAATGCTTATGTAGAACTAGGAACAATAATGGTATATCATAAACTGTGTAGTTGTGAGGTTAAAATATCTAGTAGAATATAACTAAATAAATGCAATGTGTGAATTAATAATAAAGTTCATGTTTGCTTCTCTGAAAACTTAAATGTTACAATAATGGTAAATACATGAGGCTAAAGTTCGAACTACAATGCCATATTGATGAGGTTTCATTATTTTGTTATATTGGCCAGGCATCAATGCTTTGGAGGAAAAGAGTAATGGCAATAGCATCAGAGTACCCTGATGTTGAACTCTCTCACATGTATGTTGACAACGCTGCAATGCAGCTCGTTCGTAATCCAAAACAGGTTTGCCTTATCTTTACAATAAGTTGTGTAATTTATCTCTCACTCTATTTATGGCTAATCCAAAGTGCATTGAATAAATTATAGGTCTTATCTCTCTAACCACAAACTATTGCAGTTTGACACAATTGTGACAAACAATATATTTGGCGATATTTTATCTGATGAGGCTTCAATGATTACGGGGAGTATTGGGATGCTTCCATCTGCTAGTCTTGGCGAAGCGGTATTGGAAAATCACTTGCACGATTTTAGTTTTGGGTGTTTGTTTCTTTGTAGTATTCTTTTTTTCATAAATGGGAGTTTTCATGTAGTCGAATAATTTTTTTTTGGCAATTATTCATGTGTCCAGGGGCCTGGACTATTCGAACCCATACATGGGTCTGCACCTGATATTGCTGGACAGGTTGAAATTACAATAATTCAATTTTGTTTCCTCTGAATATAAATGCTATCATTTTTGTAAATGCATGTGAATATTTGTGCTGCACACTGGTCTAATGTGCAGGATAAAGCAAACCCTTTAGCAACTGTGCTCAGTGCTGCTATGCTTCTGAAGTATGGCTTGGGGGAAGAGAAGGCTGCCCAGAGAATTGAGACCGCAGTCTTGGATACTCTGAATAGGGGGTTTCGTACTGGTGACATATACTCCGAATCGGAAGGAAATGTATGTGGATTGTGTACTCTTTTTTTTTTTCTTTTGTCATCTTTTTCTGTTGTGGACCATTCACTTTAGTCATACGGATTTTTGCTTTTGTTATTCTCCATTTTTCTTTCCTAATCCGGCATTTGTTGTGGAGCAAAATGATTTATTATTTATTTTATTTTATTTTTTTGGCTTTGCATCGTGAGTGATGGTTATTAATCAAGAGAAAGCTATTTCTCCCCATCTAGTGTAGTGGAAACTTTTCTTTATATACTTTGAAAATGCGAATCAAACCTTTATTGTTAATATAGTTGCTGAATTTTTCTTGAATAATTTTCTGATTGGCGTTAAATGGCTAATGCTTGTTTTATCAGAAATTGGTTGGATGCAAAGAGATGGGCAAAGAGCTGGTGAAGTCCATTGATCCTGTTGTCGTATGAATTAAAGAAAGATGAGCCCTAAAGTTATGGGTTCATAAAATCCAACAGTGTTTGTGTACTCCAAGAGGATTTTGAGAACCAGATATTTTTGGTGCTCAGTTGGAAACCGTCACTTGGATTTCATTCTTGAAAATTTCTCAGAAGTCTAGTCCTTCTCAGTTTCTCCTCAATCCGTCCTCCTAGTCGTCTGCTAATTTTTTGGACTCAGCATTTCTAACAGTTGTATCTTAGTTACTAGGCTTTAGATTTATGCTGGCAATCGAGCTGTTGTAACATGAAAATGATGATGCAATAATGATTCAGATTTTTAACATGGAATTTGGACATGATTTGCTTTTGTAAATTTTAGCAGTTCTGTTTTGCACAGAAACCAATTACAAAATCGAACACAACCTTCTCACTGTGAGACTCACAAAAAGGTAAGCTCCAACTCATGTCGGTGGGAGGGTTGTCTTGTCCTGATCTATTTTTGTGTTTTTAGGTTTTTTCAAATTTTAGATACTATTTAGTTCTATGAGGTAGATATTAATAAAATGTTTGCAGGTGCAAGACATAGGCTCCGTTTGGTAGAGTTGTACAAAAGTGATTATAACTTATAGTTTAACAGCTTATAACTTATAGTTGTGAACATAAGCTGATTTTTTACTTATAAATTAAGTTTCTCCTCCTTCATTCAAAGAATAAGTTGATTTTTGACTTAGAAAAAATTATAAACTGTATTGTTAAGTTGAACCAAACACATCAAAATAGTTTAAATTAAGCTAAAAGTTGAAATAAGTTGGAAATAAACTCTACTAAATAGGGCCATAGTGGTCTATATTTGTTGCAGTTCATTTTTTGGTTGATCAATTTGTGCAGACTCATGTTAGAAGGTCATGCTTGAACTTTCCAGCGACAAATGTTTTTGGATAACTGGGTGGGACTAATTGATTGATGAATTTAGATATTTTATAGTGCATTTCCTATAGTGCATCTTATAAGGTCTCAAAATGACGTTTTGGGGGAGAAGAGGAAAAGGGCAGGTATTGAATTTATTTATTTATTTTTGTGTTACATTATTATAACAACAAAATACCTAGCAAAAATGCACTCTCATTTTAGCTTCTCACATTCTTTTGTAACGAACAAGATGATAAATAAATAAATCATGTTTTTGAGAAATTAAAAGTATGAATATCTGTTATTTTCCTAAAGCTTTACATTCAAAACTAGACATAGGATATCTAAATTCCATGAGGTGACATAAATAAAATAAAATAAAATAAATTCTATGACGTTTATTTAAAAAAAAATAGCTTAAAAAAACTACTTACAAAAACATTCCAATCCCAAATTTTTTTGAGGAAAATTATAAGACAAATATATAGATAGACCAAAGTACAACTTTAAATAAAAACAGCAAAGTATAACTTTATAGCTTAAAAAAATCAACTTACCAAAATTTCCCAACCTCAACTTTAAAAAGGTTAATTTTTTAAAGTCTATTTTGAGTTTTTTGAGCTAAAAGATAAATAAGCTAAAAAATTTGTTACCACAGTAACTATTTTTTTAAAAGGTAAAACTACTTAAATATAAAATTTTAAATTTGAAGTAATGCTCAAATAAAAATTTTAAATTTTAAACTAAATAAAGTAGGCTCACACGGGTATTTGGGATTTGCTTTTTGGTGATTTTTTTTATTGGCTTATTTTCGGTTTTAGTAAATTTTAAAAAAAAAAATTCAATAAATCTTAGGTTTCTGAATTCTACTCAAGAAAAAAATCTAGAAAAAATAAAAATAAACAAAAAAATAGTGAGCTTTTTTGGTTTATTTGGTTTTATCAATTTTTTAATTTTTTTTTAAAAAAATTAATTTTTGTATTTGTTTACACAAAATTGACTAGCAAAGTAAAAAAAAAAAAGAAGTCTTAAAAAAAAGAAAATTCGAAAAAAGAAATTACTTATAATGTTGCCAACGTGGCGACCTCCTAGTAATCCTACAAAGTACGTTTCTGCATCCTTGCCGAATAGAATGGTAAAACTCTTCCTCTTTTACAAGGAAAATTCTATCATACAAAAAAATAGTTTTGAGGTATGTTATATGAATAAATATCCACCATTGAATTTGGATAAGGCATTATCTTGATCATTGATGAGTAAATAATTAATATTTAGTTGAAAAATCAAGATAGATTCTCACAAATAAAGTACTTTTGAATATTTTTAATAAAATATTTATAAGATTAGTTTACTTTTGCGACATGTCACAGTTACTATTTACTATGAGAGAACTTACTATTATATAAACTCATACTTACTATTGAAAATGACACCTTCAAGAGATTATTGATTCATAGTGTGTGCAAATGAATTGGAAGGTCTCCTATATATTTTTTTAATGAGCTAATTTAGATGTATTTAATTATTGTCATTAACAAATGTTATTCACGTTGTGGTAAGTAAAGGAAAGCATTTTTTGTAAATGTATTCATTTATTGCCAATAATAAATGTTGATAAATAAGAAATATTTCTAAGTATATTTATAAATGAGAGATCTTATTTTGTAGATCTTCCTATAGATCTTCTATATATTTGTCAAAATATTGTAGATATTAAATTTGTAAAAAAAAATTCATAGCCAATCATATGAATTTATGGAGAAAAAAAAAATTCATTGTGGATTTTAAATTCATAATTTTTTTTTTTGTATTTTTCAAAATTTCTAAATGGTTGGTATATGAAATTCATATAAATTTTTTTATGTTTATAAAATAATTAATAAAATGATATGGATTTTAAATTTTTTTTAAAAAAATTAAAACTAACTTTATTATATTTATTTTAATGTTCATAAAATTTGATTATAAATTTATTCCTAACTTTCTTAAACAAAATAACACTATACATTTTATTTCTTACACTTTATATTGTGTTTTAAAAAATAAAAAAAAAACAATATTTAAAAAAAAAAATAAACATAATATGGAGTGAAAGTAGTTATGCCAAAAAATAATTAAAAAATATATACAAAATCTAGAGTGGAAATGCTAATATAATGTGTTATTAATTTAGCACAAATTTTAGAGTATTAGAGGGTGCTTTTAATTTTTAAATTTCAAGTAATTCTCCATGTAAGAATCTATCTATGTCTTTCCCTATGTTTTATTTTAACATTATCTGATATTTTTAATTTATAAATTTTAAGGTTTTGTTAGAACAACATTTCACCTAATTAAAGGGGGGGAAAATCATTGAATAGTAAGTGGAGTGTCATTAAATTGAATTTAATTGAGTAGTAAATGTAATCTAATGAATTAGTAAAGTTTGATGGAATAATAAGGCCAAGTTTGGCAACCCAAAAATAATCTATTTTTTTATCTTTTTTCTACCACATCACCTCTCTACTTTTCTGCACATCTTTTCATAAAAAGACAAAAAGTGCACTTATTTAGGTCATCCCAAACAACCCCTAAGTAGAGTATCAACGAGTAGTAAGTAAGTAATAAGTGATGTTTACTTTAGTAGTAAGCAAAATCTAATAAAATAGTAAGTAAAGTCTCATTAAGTAGTAAGTGAGATTTAATTGAGTAGTAAATCAAGTCAAATTAAGTGGTATCTTACTGAGAACTAAGTTAAGTCTAATAATTTTTTACATTTTCACATTTTGTTTAAAATTCATATTGCTTGTATTAATAATTTAAAATTCATATTTCTATTTATTATTGACCAATCATTGAGTTGATGATTTATTAATGAAATGGGCATTTGTTATGAAATCAGAAATCTCAATGGGTGAAATGTAATTTCTAGAATCACATGAGGTGATTCTTATTTTAAGAAAACATCTGGCGGTGTATTTATAATTTACCCTTATATGATATAATCCAAATGGTTCGGTTTGGTTCCAAGAAAAAAACAAACATAGCTATAAAATCATGGATTGAACTGTGAAGTACGGTTTGCCTATTTCAAAAATCATAACCAAACTGTGAAGTGAGAAAACCAATCCAAACCGTGCAGTTTGGTTTAGACAAGACCGATTTATGATTTTTTTCGATTTTTATGCTCATTCCTACTTATAACACTTTGTGACTCAACTTACCACTTACTAGTTAGTAAGTAAAGTATCAACGAGTAGTAAGTAGAGTCTCATTAAATAGAAAATAAGGTTTAATTTAGTTATCGTTTGGCTAGGAATTTTTTAGTTGGCTTTTTCGAGTTAGAACTTTTTTTAGCTTGGGACTAAAAAGTTCGTTTAGATTGACTTTTTTTGCTTTTTTAACGTTTGTGAGAGAAAAAGTAAAATGATTATGATTTGGATGTAACATTTTATTTTATTGACTTATTTAACCTATTTTGCCTTTTGTGCTCTTTTAGTCCCAACTTCTTTTGCGAAACAAATGAAATGTAATGAAATAATAAGTGGAAGATTATTGAGTAGTAAGTAAAGTCTAGTGAAGTAGTAAGTGGAAACTCATTAAATAGTAAGTACGATTTAATTGAATAGTAAGTGAAATTTAATGAAATAATAAACGAAATCTCATTAACTAATTGTAATATCACTTACTATTTGGTTTGATCTTATTAATTTTATTATACTTACCATAGATAAAAAAACAACATTGGGCATAACAATACTATATATGAATTACATAATGATAATGATATGATATTGACACTAGTGAGTACAACATTGGCAATCAAAAGAATATCGTTAATTCTAATGATCTCCCACTTGAAAGAGATGTTAACTGTATGGTTCAACTAACTGAAAAAAATGTATTTGAAATGACATTTGATTCGGTAGAAAATGGCAATATTGAGGAGATGGGTTTGCTCAAAAGAAGGGCATCGATAATCTGAATACCTTGAGGTGGAAGATCGTAAAAGAGAATCGAAACAATTAACTAGAGTTGTCATTCATCCTTTAGAATCAAACACAATCAAAATATTTGTAAATATGAAGTGATTGAGTTTGTTAAAGGGTACAGCCATTCCATGATAGGGCCTCTAATGAAGTAATAAGTGGAAGCTCATTGAGTAATAAGTGAAATCAAAATTGAATAGTAAGTGAAGTGTAATGAAATAGTAAGTGAAGGTTGATTGAGTAGTAAATGGAAATTCATTCAGTAGTAAGTAGAGTCTAGTGACGTCGTAAATAGAAGCTCATTTAGTAGTAATTGAAGTGCAATGAAATAGTAAGTGGAAGCTCATCAAGTAGTAAGCAGAGTCTAATGAAGTAGTAAGTGGAACCAAAATTGAGTAGTAAATGAAGTGTAATGAAATAGTAAGTGGAAGCTGATTGAGTAGTAAGTGGAGTCTAGTGAGGTTCAATTGACTAGTATACTAAGGCCTTGTTGGGCAACCTTTAGTTTTAACCAAAAAATCACCATAAGTTATCACATCACTCTTTCTACTTTTCTGAATGGTAAGTAAATTGTAAAAAAGTGGTAAGTGAACTCTTATTGACTAGTAAGTAAGT